TGTTTTGTGGTCATTTGATTCTACCATGAAAACCGAAATCTGTTGAAAAAGGCATGAGCTTCCGTCTCCAAGTTTGTCCAGTCCTAAAGTGAAGATCCCCCAACATTTACACATCCACACCCACACTCATTAACATACAAACACATTAAAAAGCATAGGCAGACACACCTAAAATAGTAAAGTATATATATACACATATACGTAAATGTATGTGTATTTGTATGCCTGTGCGTGCTAGTTTTACATCGCAACTTGGTAGGGGAAACAAGGAGACCTTATTGAGCATACGAGGTCTTGCGTCCACCGTCATAGAATTTATGGTAATTTCCAGGACAGGGCGGATGGCTTGGTATAAATTTCATAACCTTGTTGTCAAAAGTCGCTACTGGATAAGCGAAACCAAACACTAATTATCGAATAAGGGCAGTGGCAGTTGCGACTTTCCCACTATGTAGTAGTAGTAGTAATAGTAGTCCCCATGATGACACTGAATTTCCCAGCATACATTGACCTCATATTATCGTCCTATCCACACTCAACGGGAATCAGATTGTAAATGCATTACCACTCCGTCGTATAGGCCTGATGAGAAATTGAAGGCGTGCAAGGCCTCTTCCAAATCACATTTTATCACCGCGTTATCGAGCAGGCAAACACCTATTTGTCCCCATACTTGATGGCACTACTTATTTTCGGTACTTCTAGTCAATCAGTCTTGAATAAGAGCTGAATCAACCTCAATGGGTGAGTGGTAGCGAAATGTTTAGTAAAATGATGAATCCACACAACAAATTAACAGGCAGTAGCAGAAATCAAGAAGTGACGGCCGCGTAGAACATTAAATGGCTCTTGCATTGTGAAGAGAAAACAACTCGAAAAAGTCAGCGGTTGGACGTTTTAGGCCTAATTGCCTAATTCGAGTGGAAGGCAAACTTGCGATACTCGGACTGAAACCTGACAACAAATGCATTAAGCAATCGGCAAAGCAAGATGACTCTGTAAATACTAGAAATGTGGACTTTAAAACAATCTAATTAGAATATAAATAAAGTCATGTAGATTCAGTGATTGCTTTTTGGACAAATCTAGCGATGCATAAAAGTGAATGTGGAGCGCAGCAATGAGGACAGTGTGATATCTCACAGTCAAACTGGATGACGTATGGCGGTCGGCTATTCAAGTTGCCAGCTCTGTGCCGCACATGACAGTGGTAGCTACCCATGTGCTGGACGCCGAGTCGCGCGATGTGCAGAGAGCTGTCGTTGAGCACTTGCATGTTGGTCAGTCGTCTGGCCGAACGTTGACGCAAGAAGTGATGAACAGGAGTGGAATGGGAGGGATGGGTGAGAGAGGCACAGAGTGAAAAATGAGAAAATAGAATATGAATGAAGAGAAAAGTCAGTTTCAGCACAACTGATCAACTTGATGCACGCCTTCCACTCGTAGAATATCTTATATCGTCACTGCTGGCCAGATTATTATCATTATTTAAAACGATATGCTAAATAAGAAGGTGCTACAAATCGGGAAGTGAAAACTAAGCCTCGTAGATTTGAAGACTAAGGTGTGGCCTTCTGTTTGGTCGCAGTCTCCTTTAGCTTTAAGATGCTGGTTATCGCAACTCGAACGGAGCGTCATAGAGACCTTGTAGAAGGTACCCAGTTCTGTGTCCTCTGACGTCGTATTCGTGATTTCCAGCGTCGGAACATTAACTTGATACATTCCCAGACGTTTCGCCGGCATCGTCAGCGAGAGGTGCCATCGTTTGAGCAATAACAACTTATCAAAATGACCGATTTTCCGTTTAATCGCTGCGGAATCACTCCTCGCCCCTATTTTTGTCATAGCCTCTGGTGCTGTATCACTTTCTCTCGACATCACTTCATTTACCTATTCACACCACTCTTTGCTCTCGTTTTCCCTAATTTCGCTTCCAGTGAAACGTAATCATTCAGCCGCCCATCCGCCACCTCGCTTGTCCATTTGTCGCTGCTACACATCAAAATCACAATTTGTCTGACTATGAACCTCAAATTCCTAGATACGAAGAGAAACTTGGTTTCGATGAATCTCCTGAGATAACATTGTTAGGGGGACCTTCATTTC